TACCCTCAAACAGCTGCTCCCAATCCACATTCCCCAGCTCCTGTCGAATCTTGCTATAGTTGGCCTTCCCCCAGTTTAGCACTCTTCCTTTAGGACCACTCTCGTCTTTGTCCATGAATATTCTAAAACTTACGGAATTGTGATCACTATTCCCAAAGTAATCCTGTACTGAAACTTCTACCACCTGGCCGGGCTCATTCCCCAACACCAGGTCCAGTATGGCCCCTTCCCGAGTTGGACTGTTTACATACTGCTCTAGAAAACCCTCCGGGATGATCCTTACAAATTCTGCTCCATCTAAACCCCCAACACTAAGTGAATCCCAGTCAATGTTGGGAAAACTAAAATCTCCCATCACCACCACCGTGTTGCTCCCACATCTTTCCATAATCTGTCCACATATTTGTACCTCTATCTCACGCTTGCTGTTGTGAGGCCTGTAGTACAGCCCCAACATTGTTACCACACCCTTCCTATTTCTGAGCTCTGCCCATCTTGCCTCACTGCTCGAGTCCTCCATAGTGCCCTCCTTCAGCACAGCTGTGATATCCTCTTTGACCAGTAATGCAACTCCTCCGCCCCTTTTACCTCCCTCTCTATCCCGCCTGAAGCATCTATATCCTGGGATATTTAGTTGCCAATCTTGCCCTTCCCTCAACCAAGTCTCAGTAATAGCAATAACATCATACTCCCAGGTACTAATCCAAGCCCTAAGTTCATCTACCTTACCTACTACACTTCTCACATTAAAACAAATGCACCTCAGACCACCCGTCCCTTTGCGTTCATCAGCTGCTCTCTGCCTACTCTTCCCCTTGGTCACACTGACTTCATTATCTAGTTCCTCACAGGCTTTAGTTACTACCTCCTTACTGTCCACTAACCTCCTCATTTGGTTCCCATCCCCCTGCCACATTAGTTTAAACCCTCCGCAACAGCGTTAGCAAAGCAGCCCCTAGGACATTGGCTCCAGTCCTGCCCAGGTGTAGACCGTCTGATTTGTAATAGTCCCACCTCCCCCAGAACCGGTCCCAATGTCCCAAAAATCTGAACCCCTCCCTCCTGCACCATTCCTCAAGCCACTCATTTATCCTGCCTATTCTTTCATTTCTACTCTGACTAGCACGTGGCACTGCTAGAAATCCTGAGATCACTACCTCTGAGGTCCTACTTTTTAACTTGTCTCCTAACTCCCTAAACATTGAAATGCAATGTTAGCATTTATTGAGAAGGCTAGAATAAAAGAGCAGGGATGTACTGCTAAGGCTGTATAAGGCTCTGGTCAGACCACTTTTGGAATATTGTCAGTTGTTTTGGAGCCCTGTATCTCAGGAAGAAAATGCTGGTGTTGGAGGGGGGGGTCCAGGGGAGGTTTACAAGAATAATCCCTTGGGGTGAAGGGCTGGTCGTATAAGGACCAGTTGAAGACTCTGGGTCTGCCGTGGAATGAATGATTTTATTGTCACGTGAGAAAAACAGTAAAATATAGTGAAAAGCTTTTTCACTAGTGACACAATCCGATGCCATTTTGAATAATTTAAGAATAAGAAAGAAAAGAAAGATATAGCTTAAAGAGAGTCCATCAGTCCTGAGCTAGCTCACCACCATCAATGTCACCATCGCCCTGACACAGCCACCATCTATGCCGGATCTGATCAACATCGAAGTGGCCGATCCTCTGGCACCAGCTTTCACTGTTGGGCCGATATTCCTACACCCCTGCACCCCACACCCCCCACCCCACCCCCACTTGCGCTAGACCAATCAACGTCAGAGAGGCATCCATCACTGCTAGACCCACCTTAATGTCAATGTGATGCCCTTCCATCACCATCTACACTGAACCCAACCAATGGTGAAGCCTCTGATCCTCAGGCACCAAGCCCGTTGCCAGGACCTGTGCTCGCCCTAAGGTCTCACTCACCACCACTCAACACAGATTAGAAGGATGGGGCAGGATCTGATTGAAACTCACAGAATACTAGAGACCTGGAGAGAGTGGACATGGAGAAGATGTTTCCACTAATAGGAGAGACTAGGACCTGAGGGCACAGCCTCAGAGTGAAGGAATGAGCCTTTAGAACTGAGATGAAGGAGCATTCCTTCAGCCAGAAGGTGATGAATCTGTGGAGCTCATTGTCACACAGGGCTGTGGAGGCCAGGACATTGAGTGTCTTTAAGACAGAGGCACATAGGTTCCTGATTGGTAAGGGGATCAGGGTTATGGGGAGAGGGCAGGAAAGTGGAGTTGAGGATTGTCAGATCAGCCATGATGTCATTGAATGGCAGAGCAAACTCGATGGGCTGAATGGCCTACTTCAGTTCCAATGTAATGTAATGGTGGAATATAATTCCCTGAAGTTTTTCAAACATGATTCGTGAATAACTTGTGTGGTCGGGTTGTTTTTGCTCAAGAATTGGAACCTGTGGAACAATTGTTGAAATGTGATTCAACTAAAATTAGCTCCTATTAAACAGACTCAGACTAATCTTCCACAGTGCCCTGTGGTGCAGAATTCCAAAGGTTCACAACACTCAGTAAATAAATTCTCCTCGTCTCAGATATAAGTGGCATTCCCCTTATTATTAAACTGTGCTATGGGTTCTAGATTCCCCAACCAGGAGAAATATCTGACCTGAACCCTTCCTGTCTATCCCTTTAAATGTTTTGTACATTTCAATGAAGTCACCTCTTGTTCTTCAAAACTCCAGAGAATCCAGGCTCAGTTTGCCCCAGTCACTCTCCAGGAGACAGCCCCAACATTCCAGGAACTAGACAGGCGAATCTTTATTGCACTCTCTCTGTGGTAATGATATCTTCTCTGAGATAAGGAGACCAAACCTGCAAAGACTACTCCAGGGCAGGGTCTAGCCAAGCTCCTGTATAATTGAAGGAAGAATTCACTGCTCCAATACTCAAATCCTCTTGTGATGAAGAGGCAGTACCACAGTACAATCTCTGCCATGAAAATGTCTTTATCATTGAATCAGTGAAGATTCTGCATTAACTCCAGACTGAACTGATCTGAAAATAGATGCACAAACCTGGAAGAAGGCAAGCCTGGCAAAAAGACTTATAACTTCTTCGACAGCATCACATTAATCTTCATGTGAACTTGTGAGCGGCTCAGTAATCTTGTTAGTGATGACACAGCTCCCCGTGGATAGGACAATTTTCTGCTTACAGCTTGGATTGATGAGATTCAGTTACTCACTGAACGCTAATGGTGTTGTCCTATATAAAAATACCAGTCGCACAGCATCTAGGGCACGCTAAACCTTTCCAGTTAGACGTCATTGATTCACAAGCATAAAAGCACAGAATCAGACTATTCAGCCCTTCAAATCTACTAGCCTCAATGCCCTGCCTTTTCCTCACAGTTCTGCACATCCTTTCACTTCAGGTACTGATTCAGTTCTCCATTGAAAGTCATCAATGAATCTGCCTCCACTGTCCTCTGACATAATCCTCCAGATTGTAGCCATTCATTTTGTGAAAGCAATTGTCTTCATATCCCCTTTTC